AATTTGCATAATTAATTAGGAAATTCTCTAATTACAGTGTTTTATATAATAGTACTTTTATACATGTAATCTATTCAATCTGTGGCAAGCAAACATCAACAGCTAACAATTATGCAAATGATGACCTGATTTGCATAATTAATGTGAAAATTATGTGACTCCTTATTGATGAATGATGGGAATTTTATACTTTGTGACATGTGTAAGTTACTTAAAGGTTAACACCACTATGCATATATTATGTTAATGTAGAGGTCATTTGCATAATTAATAAGGACATGTTGAAATGAAGTATGAAAAAGGAGAGGAATTTTACACTAAGAATATTATTATTTGAATTTAGAAAACCATAAATTTCATGGAGGTATGAGATCTCCGAATTCTTGTTTTTTTTTTAAACAGGCGAAAGTCAATGCGCGGATGTCATCCATAACATTCAAGTTTTATTTTATTTATTATGTGATCGTATCCTGGAGGCGGAAGGTCGCTGCGTCTTCCATAAAACAATTGATAAACCCTGGATGTCTGCAAAAATAAGGTGACTTATGCGCTCCCGCGACAAGTCGCACAGAATTGCCAAACTTTCTAACAATTCTATTGACTGGGAATCATATCGCAAAATTCGTAATAGACTTTCTACAGAAATTACACGAGCCAAGGCTGAATATCAATCTCACTTGGTTCAGTCTCTTTCTGATCCCTCCTCTGATAGTAAAAGATGGTGGCACATCGTTAAACATCTATAGACCTAAATCTTATACAGCAATCCCTCCTCTCCTCGAAGGAAATTCTTACATATATATAGTTGATTCCTATAAGAAGGCATGTTTATTTAACGAGTATTTTATCTCACAGGTCACTGTACTTCGTGGTTTAAAGTTTAAATTACCTCGCAATATATAATATGTTTTAGAAAGTATCTATAAATCATTTGTCCGTCCTTGTTTGGAGTATGCAGATGTGATCTGGCATGGCTGTACTGCTGAAGACTCCTCTCTTGTTGAAAGAATCCAATATGAATGTTCTCTTATCGTCTCAGGAGCAGTTAAAGGATCTTCTTACTTATCTGTTTGTCAAGAACTGGGTTGGGAGTCTCTTTCTACCCTCATGTACAACTTTAAAACGATGCAACTCACTCAGATTTACATTGGAGATACCAAGCGCTTCTAGCTCTGCTTGACTGTTTCTAACAGTCAATTAGATATAGAATATAGATATAGAAATCCGTACATGTATATGTAGATCCTTTATGTACTTTTGATTTAGAAAATAAAAATTCCTGACAAAACTTATTGCTGACGGTTGATTTAAGTGGGACGCTGTCATTCAAAGCAGTTCAGTTTCTGTTTATTTGTTTTAACAGTAATTACAGATCAGGCCATTTTGGCCTGCTTTTCAGGCAATCCTGGATACACATAAAAATACATACAACATATACACAGTACATATTAATTAAACAGTTAGTAAAATACAATATACTCAACATCAACTAAATCAAGTCCTGATTTAGTTGATTTTGTGATCAAGGATACGGCAATCTCCAAATGTGAGATCAGGAATACGACTGTGTATTGCTGCACGTAGACTAACATTGCTTTATATCCAAAAGATATTTTGTTCAACCATTCCTTTGCCCATATCTATGTTTAGTAGTAACGTGGGGGGTTTACAGAAAACACAAGGCTGTCCACCAAGCGAAATCTGGCCAGTCCTCCTAGACAGCCAGGTATTTTCCGTAAACCCATGGCCTTGAACCGTTGAGCTTTCTGTGTTGAGCAAACGCATAGGAGCTGACCATTGGATTCTAGTTAAGACGGCGAATTTAACGATAATTTTGCTTTTAAAAAGCGTGTCTTTGCACATGTTTCGTATATAATCACCCTAAAATTCATAAATGTACAATGTACTTCACTGGAATTATGTTCAAACAGAATCATGGTAAATGTTACTCCAATGGGGTGATCCCAAGTAATGCCATTGGTATATGCAAGAAAACAAGGCTTAGTTAGATACACTTTAGTTCCTTGGTTCAGCTATCAGCTTAAATGGAACAGGAGAATGTATTCCCAAAAACACCCCTTCTTCTGGTGGTTTAGGGGCGCCCTCTGGCAGCTTGAAGGTGAAGCGCCGTAACAGTGATGTGAAGATGAGGAAGATCTCCATCCTCGCCAGCTGTTCACCAAGGCAAATACGGCGACCTGGAAAATACACATACGTCATTTAGTTACTTCCGGTTTAAAACGCAACAAATTAAAACAAAAGGATGGAATACAGGGATTTCCTGTCTTGTTTCCGCCTCTTTGACCCTTTTCCCACTTGGATAAAATGGTCGTATCGAGCCGAATAGATTGGTGACCGGCCTCTATTCGGTCAACTTTACCCCAGTGGGAACGCTCCCAATACGTCTAGGTTCGGCTTGATCCGGCGCAGCAACGACTCACGCCGCGAGGTGGATCGTTCTACTTGATGTAAATCTAAGAGCCGGATCGACGCTAGCGCTAGCCTGGTATCCAGTCTAGTCATGGTAGTTGGAACAGGCTGTGTACGCTAATAGAGATGGCACGCCGGGGGAGTTGATTTGTCCCGCCCGCCTCGGTTTCCCGATGGGTATTTCATTATGGGAGATTGATTAGCCTAGTGTCTACCAGGCTTTGGGAGGCGGCTGGAAAGTGTAGAAATCGGCCAAATAGAGAGATAACATGCCGGGGAAGTTTGTCTGCGGGGAGAAAACATTTTGCCCCACCCTGGCATGTTCTCTAGTTGGCCGATTTCTACTCTTTCCAGCCGCCTCCCAAAGGATGGTAGAGACTAGGCTAATCAATCTCCCATCGTGAAATACCCATCGGGAAACCTAGCTGAGGCGGGCGGGAAAGAGCTCATGTGGCCCCGAGGAAAACCCGCCCCTACCACGTACCATAAGACTGGATATATACCAGGCTAGATCGACACCGGACAGAGGCCGGTCACCAATCTATTCGGCTGGATCCGGACAATTTATGTTTACCGAAAGAAAACATATTGTTTTTGCTCAGTTTCTTCCTCTTCTTCTTCTCCAAACAGTGACCTCGAGCTCTGACCTCACCATGGTAACTGGTGTTGGGTTACATAATGTTGCAATTTCATAGTAGGAGGCATTTAGACTCATGTCACCATATACATGCGTGAATGTGTTTGAGAAAGAATTAGCAGAGCAGACCACATCCGAAGGTAAACATTATGCACTTGTATCCAATTAGAAAAGGGCACGAGAACTACACACCTGTGGAGAAAGCAATGACTTCATTCCTCTTTACAAACTTGCCGGCATCGTTGAGAAAGCGAGTGGGGTCAAACTTGCTGGGCTCCGGCCACAGCTGGGGGTCATGATGCACCGACCAGAGGTTTACCTCCACAAACGTGTCCTGAAGAAGACGCAAATAAGAGAAATGCTTACATGTCCAAACGTAAACTGCCAACACACTGTTCTTTGTAATCTATAATTAGGCCACAACAAGTAATTTTTATGGATGACATCAGCGCGCGCATTAATTTTCGCCTTATTTTGGAAAAAAAAAACATTTGTTGCCTTCTGACAGTGGGCACCTTGCCAAAAATGGGCAAATATGTCTGTTGCCAAGGCGGAAGGTGGATGGTAGATAACTATGAAGAGAGGAGACAAGAAAAGGCTCTGATTTAATGTTTTTGTTTCTTACTTTGATGCAGTGATATGTGATGTTGGCTGTGTATATGGGATGTTCCCACTGAATCAAAACCATTTGTACAATGATTGAGTCAAAATTTTAAAATGTAGGAATCTTCTTTTTTTTCGCCCGTCTTGCATTAGATTTGGAGTCTGCGGAGGATGCCATCCATAAAATTTACTTGTTGTAGCCTTGTACCACATAATCATTCAAAAATTCACAAATTCATTCTCTATTTTCTCATTCTCTCAATAATTAAATTACTATGGGTTGAATCTGAAAACAAATAGAGAATGAATGTTTTTGAATATGTGGTTTGTAACGTTATAGTGGTATACTGATGCTACGTTACAAACCACATGTTCCATGTTGAAAAGAACACTAAAACTTCATTCTCTATTTGTTGTCAGATTCGGTCCATAGTAATTTAATTAATGCTGAGCAAAAAAAAATGCTCCAACACCTCAAAACACAGTGAAAAGCAAGCTGTTCAACGTCAACAGGATCATTCCCATGCCTTCCAGTCCTAGGCTATGCAAATGAGGCTACCCCCCTATTTGCGCATTGCATTCTGGGGATGGGAAACTGGTGAATGCCTAACATGTTGACCTACCTGAGGAATGTTGTATCCCCTGAACGTGGTGTCGCTGCTGGTGCCGTGAGGAACCGAAAACGGTGCAACACTCGCCAGCCTGTTCACCTCCGCCAGGGTGGCTTCAGTGTACGGCATCTACAGATAGGGTTAAAGCATTTTGAGGAGACGTCAGCAACTTCGTTTTTAGAATCATACTGAAATAGTTAATCCGTAAACATTAGTGCCGACTTACCTGTTATCTTGTATTGAGTAAGAAGAAGACATTTGATAGCCTCCGGTTTAATTCTTGACCTTCAGTTTTATTCCATATCTCACCAACCTTACATCTAGATGGGCTAATATCGTAATCTTTAAGTAATAATAATGTAAGAAATACATATACGTAGCGGCCATTTAGGAATTCTGCACAGAATTCTGGCTCCAGTTCCCAATATTCTACAGAATCGGGCTAATCCCAAAAGGGTCCTTGATGGCTGCTACTTATTTCTTATAACATTTTAGCCCATCTAGATGAAAGGTTGCTTATGGGGATTGGTAAGAAATTAAACTGGAAGTCCAGAATTGCATTGGGGGCTCTTGTATATGCCTTTAATGCCCTTGCAATTTAGTTTAATCCAGAATGGTTATGGGAGGACCTGACTTTGTGTGCTCAGCATTGATGGCTCCTGCTATACAATCATACCCACGTGCACAAAACGATGTACACTTCCTCTTCTACAGAGTAGGAAAGAGACATATCTGAGGGTTGTAACTTGAAATCTGCACGACGCTACTTTCCATCTAAAATTCATGACCCTAGCCTGTCCAGATCACGAGATATCAAGACCAAAAATTCCGCTGCAGTACCAAGAGAAGCCACTAGGGAGCCCAAAATCTCATCATTTCTAGATTTAGTCACACCCTACCAACGCACCAAGTATGAAACCAATCTATCCAGCCGTTCTTGAGTTATCTTGTTGACAAAATTTAATTCCCTATGGAATGCATTCGTGGTATTCTTAGAATATTTTCAACTCAATTGCAGTACTATACCAACGGCTCCGCCCCTGAGGTGTCGCCAAAAAACTAACTGTACTTAATACATGTGTGCCTCCTTACCTGGCTACGATGTACCATGGACGGGTCCTGGTCGGGTCCCAGCACGCTGTCTATCTCCTGTTGTACTTTCTCCTGGATTGCCGGATGGAGGATCATGTACAGCAGGGCCCAGCGTAAGGTCACAGACGTTGTGTGAGTGCCTGCCAGGAACAGCTGAAGGACGATCTGGGGGGGGGGGGGGAGGGGACAACATTTTTCATATTTTTTTTTTAATATTCCAACATATATCACAAGATATAGCGACGGCACACTCAAGTTCTTCCAACTTAACTTCATGCCACCACCAACGCAGACTAACACATGAACGGACAACAGACTAGCCTCCTGTGCAGGACCTTCTCTCGGTGGCTATGTAGGATGGCCGGCAATATTAAAATAACGCGTTAAAAACTCTTCCCCACCGCCGCGGGGCCTGCACAGGAGGCTACAACAGACGTACTCGTTTTCACCTGCGTAAAGTGAGGAAATTCGTCTTAAGTGCCTTTCCCAAGGGAACAACATCGGTGGCACGGCAGGATTTGAACTCGGGACCTCTTGGTTCCGAGCCGAACACTCTGTCGTTACGCCACAAGACCCCATAAAAAAGCATCATTTCATAACGTTTAAATACTACATGACACCAGTAACAAATAAAATACGCAACAGTTCCTGAGAATAGGCAGACGTGACAGTCATTATTTAGTGAGAAAAGATTTGGGGACAAAAAATACACTCTACTGATGTTAGGAAACATCGATCGAGTCTTTAAAATCATCCTTCCAGTTCTTGATTTCTTTTGCCAGTTAATCCAATCAAAAGTTGCCAATGACGTCATGGTACGCATGGCAGCTCTTTCACAACCTGGCACCACGACTCATGAAAAACGTTCTTTTGTCAAAAGTTTTGAGAAGTAAAGCAAACATTGAAAACTTGCAATTGTATGCAGTATAGCCACAATAACTACTAGTATGTTTTGTTTGACTCTGGAAATAACTTTTTATGGGTTCACCACACCACGAAGTGGTGTGGTGAAACCATATTGCTTTTTCTGATGTTTCTTCTTCTTCTTCTCCTCCTCCTCCTTCTCCTCCTGCCATATCTTTAAATGGATTCAGCTTCTTCATTTTAGGGCCTAAGGTCCTGAAATTTGGTATGGAGGTACAGTGGGCAAATACCCCTAGGCGTTTTTTAAATTATTGTGATACAGGCTTTTAGAATGGTTTTATTTGAGTTTTTTGGCTGTGTAATAGCTAATGTATTACTGTGTAAGTGTGCAGTGTTTACCACATTTGGACATGAGTCATCACAATGGCATGCTAGGCATCAACCAATAGGCATGCAGCTTTCCTCTATTCTCCTTGCTGATTGGCTGTTGGGATTTAACTGGCTTAACTTCATTTACACCTGCACAGAGCCATGCCATACTGACAGTATGTCTGTATTCAAGTGTTTTGGTAGGTATTTTAAGCTTTCCTGCTCCAGCATTGGAATGCGGGCTATGAACGCTTCTTTTTATCTTGAAAATCAACAGTTTGCATTATGCAATCCTAACCAATAATGTAGGGAATAGCTATCCAACTGTTGTAGTCTTAGTTGTATGTTACTTCATACTATAGTTATATCAATGTAAAGCATTGTTTTCCCTTGTGTTTCTCATTCTTTCCCTGCCATGTGGTAAAATGTGGTGAACCCATCGCTATATTTGCTCCAAAGCAAATATTGGCCTTTCTAGTTTTAAATTTTTTTTTCTATTCCAACATGTAATGACCAGACGTGGTGGGGACACACTCAAGTTTTTTAAGACTTATATTAATGCCGCCACCAACACAGGGGACAAATACACGACAGGACAATACTCATTAACGCCTGAGCTAAGTGAGGAAAGCCGTGTAAAGTGCCTTTCCCAAGGGCACAAGATCGGTGGCATGTCAGGACTCGAACCCGAGACTCTTAGTTCCGAGTCGCCCACTCTGCCGCTACGCCACACGACCCCACGCGTTTTTTGTGGGGGTGGCGCCAAGTTAAAGGTAGTCATGATCACACATTGGTTTACGATCTTTAATTATGGAAAGGCATTGTACATGTGTATATTATGTATACATAATATGTCCCTTACCATTGTCAGTTCCTCATCTGTAAAGGTTGAATTTTCGTCTTCTTGTCGTTTCTTCGACTCCAAGAGGAACGCATCGATGAAGTCTCGGATGTCATTCTCGTCAAATGTCTCGTGGTGTTCCCTGATTCTTTTTTTAACGTGGTTGACTAGAGTAACCTGGTTTTTCCTTAGATCTAGAAACCCCTTTCTAACACCAGGGATGTACCGTAGAGGGCTGAAGCTTAGGGCCAAACGTTCCACAGAAGTTGGAGAGAAAACTCGATCTATCGCCATGAGAAGATCCGTAAATTTCTTGTCGTCATACTCGTAACGACGACCGAATACAATGGAACAGATCACGTTGGAAACTGTATTCTGCAGCATCTGAGATATGCAAAAGCCCTGGCCGCCATGTTTGCACATCTCTTGCTGAAGTGCTCGAGTTTCTTCGAGAATCTTTCCTTCCAGGCTCCTCTTTCCGACTCCGAAGTCGCGGAGACTCACCAGGGCAAACTTTCGGTGTTCTTTCAATTTGGGGCCGTAGGGCTCTCGAACTATACCTGTGCCTGTTGGTCAGAGAGGAAGAGTTTTAGAGAATGTTCTAGACATGTTGAAAGGACGAAATGTTTTCATAACCCTTTGAGTTTATAGGTTTTTAATGTAGATACCTATGGGGTCATGAATTGATATTACGCAATAGTGATGTACAACTAGACTTCTATCACGTGGTGAGCACGGGCGGGGCACGACCTGTCTTAGCCAATCACAGTGTAAACTTGATCCGCCCTAACCAATCGCAGTGCAGATCTACACGTGCTCCTAATTTTGCCGCGTCTTTCAGAATTTCTCGGCCCACTCGAACGAATCACGGTAGCGATCGGTTCGAAACAAGAAAGATGTCATAACATTATTTTAAAAAAAAACGATAAAAACGCCTAAAGACGTACAAAAAAGTCTGCAGGCATTGATTGAAAAAAAGCGACAAGAACTTACGAAAAAGCTACACATTTTCCTCATATGATATGTCGAAAAATCTCTGTACGGATTTAAGGTAATCAAAACTTAGGCCATACCGAATTAATTTTATGGATGACATACGCACACAGATTGATCTTCGCCTGTTCTAATTCTAACAAGACTGGCAATGAAAACATACATTGCCATGGCGACGGTGGTTGCTGTTAGGGTTATTGTTTGCATGGCACTGCCATGACACTGCCATGATGGTACCTGTTAAGTCTAGACAGATACAGTGCACTCCTCCCCTGAGTGTATAGTGAACGAGCCCCGGGGTCACAGAAAGCAGGGCCATAGGGCAGACAGATCTTCCCAAGGGTTTATAGGAATGTGGGTATAGATGTGGGTCAGAGAAATGCCTGTGGACATTCCGCATGCCTGTGGACAAAATGCTAACCATTCACTGGGTACGGCATGTGGGGAATGTGGCTAGAATGTGGGACATACACTTGACATACAATTCCTACCTAGTGAAATTCCAGGAAACCCTTGGGACATCGTGGAAATTGTACAGATTGACAAGACTCCCATGATGTTCATGAAGTCGGTACAGATTCACAAGACTAAAAATTCTTGTGAATCTGTACCGACAGTCTTCTGAGCTCTGCTGCATTTAAACAGGTACTATTATTATGATATCTTTCTCTTCTATTATAATAATTGAGAAGTTTATTGCAAATTCATGCCCAGAGGCTAATCGTCAGTTACAAACATAAAAGGACATTGAAGAACAGTATATAAAATAACTAAAATCTACATGATGAAAGGTAGTTGTCTAAAATTGTAGCTATGTCTAAAATTATGTCTGAAGGGTTTGACTTCCCTTTTGAAAACTGTAGAAGCTTCGAAGACATCATCAGATCAGTGCATATCTGTAAGTCTCCTTCTCAGCATTTCCCCAACATGTTCAGATTCACAATGTGATCGACTTTACTCACAGAAGTAATTCTAAAATGTCTTTAGAGGTTGTAGTTTATTCACCTGGAAGGCATGTGGGAAAGGAATGTGAGCAAAAATTTAGGACTTCCACTTGGAAGGCTTGAAGACTTCCACTTGGAAGGAATGTTGTAAGGCATGTGCGAATGCATGGAAGCAAGAATGTAAAACTTCCACTTGGAAGGCATGTGGGAATGGCAAGAATGTAAAACATCCACTTGGAAGACATGTGGGAATGAGGGCCAGAAAGCAGGACATCCATAAGACTTCAGCGCATGTGCAGACAGGCATTGACGACATGCCACAAATCCCTAGGGTTTACAGCGCATGTTAAGAATGCAGGCATAGCAACCATACCACTATATGTCCCACCGGTTTTCAGCGCATGACGAAGGGCAGGCATTGTACAAATTCCACGTTGTTCGAAATCGAACAGCTCCCGAATGAAACGTCGTTGTTCTCATCAGGAGAAACCACACCACCACTAAGCGCTTAAATCGTAAATGGCAACAACACATCTGAGTAACCTACAATTTAAAGACGACCACCCGCGTTTCACGGACTGGACTTGACAGTTACAGGATATATTGCTGAGGTGGCTAAGAAAATGGAACTGGGCACGCAGAGGACCAACGTTCTGGGCGGAAATAGTTCACATAGGACTGTGTGACAGCCGGAGAGGAATTATTGTGCAAGCCAAATTTAAAACTGATGATCTTGGGCCTGAAAAAAAGGTTTCCCTTCTACTAGTTTTCAAAAAGTCATCACATGGCAGAAGGTGCGAATGACCCCTTGCAGTTGTCGTTTTTGGGTGGTATTTTTTCTAACCGGAGGCCTTCCGCAAGCATCCTATGGCCAGGCAAACTTAAGGTAATGTAACAGGAAATCCATTTAAGGCTAAATAAAGCCGTATAAAACACCTGTGTCGATGGTCTTACAGAAGTACAAATCTCTCTCTGGTGTAGATAGTATGCAGATGTATTGTCATATATCATACATGATTAATTTTACGGCATACTTAGGACTGCATGCACAAAAAAACTCTAAAATACATGTGTACTTCTACATTGTCCTATAACAAAATTGATCTAGTCAATATATTTGGTTATGCCAACCAATGTCAACAACCTATCAATGTCAACCTCTGATGTGTACAACATATATGTAAGTGCATTTATGTTCGTGAGGAGTTAACTTCGCGATGTACCTAGCCTATCCTAGCTAACTGATCTCCGTGTCAACAATTTGAATTTGTAATGAAATAGAAATTTATATGAACAATCCTTTCCATTCATGAAGAGTTGTTATATTTAGAACTTCTTGTAAAACGGTAGCACAAAACATCTAATATGTGTAATAGTCTATACACAACGCAAGCTTCAAATGCGCTAGTTTGCTAGAAACGGGTCACATGATAATATTGTACTCGCCGATTTTTTTGAACTTATAAATATCAACTTGAATGTATCCCAACCATGCGACTCAATAGAAGCTTGGTGGAAAGACAGCGTGGGTCATTTTCCAAATTCCAGTAGAGTAGTATTTACACAAAAAACGCGCATGGTCTCTATAAATTATATTAACATTTAAGATACATTTATTAAAGTCTATGTCTTGTGCTGACTTACGTAGAATTCATCATAGGATTCATCATTGAACATGGCAAACTTACCATCCAGGACACGCGTTAATGGATCGGCCCGGTTACAGTCGTAGAATTAAAACAGTCAATTACACTCTACGGAAAATGGGCATGCGGGGCCCTCCTTAAAATGCTATTGTCTATTGTCATAACAGATCCTAAAACAACACACACTTTGACTAGTGTTGGCAACTTCTTTGACTAGTGTTGGCAACTTAAAAAAAAACTAACTCCAAATCACGACCTTGACAACTAGACATACTTAATGTATATGGCAAACTTACCTATCCAACGGACACTCAACACAAGCGGCTACCTGGTACTACAACAGCACATCTGATCACTATCGACTGTACTCACAGAAGTAATTCTAAAATGTTTTAGGAGTTTGTAGTTCATTCACTTGGAAGGCATGTGGGACAGGAATGTGAGCAAGAATGTAGGACTTCCACTTGGAATGCTAAGACATCCACTTGGAAGGCATGTGGGAAGAAATGTGGGAAGAATGTAAAACTTCCACTTGAAAGGCATGTGGGTATGTGGGCAAGAATTTAGGACTACGTAGGAATGTGTCCATAAAAGTGTGCCATCAACATGCCTGTAGACATGCCATGCCTGTGGAAAAAAAATGCCTGTGCAATTCCTAGAATTCTTGCAAACTACACACAATACTGTGCCATTAGGCTCCCCCCTGAGGCGTCGCCAAAAACATTCGCCTCCGACGAGGACTGGGTACATAGTCCATGGTAGCTAACAACAATACAGAAGATTGTATCCAGGCTCCACAGAAGTCAGTACAGTGTCAACTCATAAAGTTGCAAAAGGCCAGCATGTGCCGGCTTTTCGTAAAATTCGCTGTGTACTACCACAAAGTCACAATACCAGCTTAGTATTCCTGTGGTTTAGCAGCATTTTTATTTGGCTGTAATCTTTCTAAACGCCTGCTCGCCCTAGTTTGGGGTCTCCAGAGGGTGTCATCCATAAAACTAAGACAGAGTGACCTACAGAAAAGACAAGCTCGGGCCAAAAGTAGTGTACTCCTACTTACCCGATATTATTCCAGCTGGAGGAACCGAGGCGGTACTTGAATACCGACTGGAGAAGACATCGGCGTTCTTCACCAATGCCTCGTGGATGGCGGCGTAACCGTTCAGAACTATCGACATCATCGGGCCACGGTAGACGGTGAAGACGTCACCGTACTTCTTCGACCATTCCGTGTAGACAACTGGAGTGGCATTCTGTTGGCAAAGAAAACAACAGTTAGTTTTTTGTCTTGCTTGTACACCACGTATACTTTTTATTCACGTTTATTTTTATTCATACAACTGCAATACTTTATTGAAAATAAAAAAAAAAAAAAACAACATCGCATAATATTTGTTAATGTTAGATACAAACGTCATAGAAATATTTCTTGTGTGTGCAATTCTCATGACCACTTGTTCATCCCTGTAGTTTCCTTGGTATCAGTGGGGCACCGGTACGTACCAGTGTAATGGATGTAATATCCATGCATTCCGCTACAGGGCGCACCTGATTAGATGTCTTATCTTTGGTGAGGATATGAATAGGGGGTCTGAGTAGTCTGACGTGCTAGCCAGGCTAGGTAGACAGACAAGGTAGCCAGACCTAGTATACAGGCTTTTCACTAGCGCCATGTTGGAGTACAGTGATGTCTGTTAAACATGCCAACATGCTGCTACTTAATCAATTTACCCGCCAACACCTGGTCGCGGGGATTCAAATGGTAATTATCATGACGTCAATGAAAAGCCTCTATAGGCACGCAGGTTTTTCTGTAAACCCGCCTGGGGGAGGGGGCTTATAGGTCCTCCTTATATTCCTTAGGGTCGAATATTCCCTGACCTACTAGTATCAAGTGTATTCAGTCAAGGGTATCATCATACAGTGACCTATAGCTATAGACTATATAATGTCATTCATCCAATTGTCATTCACATATTAACGTCCTGCATACTGTGTGACTGCTCTGTGGGCGCTTCGATAACCGAACGGTCAATGACCCTAACGTGTTGTCGAATCGTTTACTTTAGTCAGTAGGGGGTGGGCGCATCGAGTTTGCCTTGGTCATACTATAAATGCTGAAGTACCTTTGACTGTTGTTTTACTAAATTTCATTGCAGTCTAACCTACAGTACAACACTTACATTTATCAGGCTGAAGATGTTCCCAACAATCGGCAGTCCTCTGGGTCCAGGCGGAAGTTTTTTGGGGCGCCCCAACCACACCATAGCCAGGGCGCAGAGAGCAACCAAAAGAACGACCTGTACTGTCCCAAACGTTGAAAACAGCTGGCCAAGGAAATACATGGTTGAATCTGTGGTTTATTTCTCAGCAAGACTATAAGTGCAACGAGTGCTACCAAAAACGTCTTTGTGCTTCGATCTGTGTTCGTATGACAGGACTGGTCCATTTTACTCAGTCTGGGGGAACTTTAAGAGTTAGTATTTAATATTTTGTATGCAGGAAAATCAATTTTCTAACGTTTGGGTGGAGGTTTCAAACACTATTCATCTGGCACACGGCAATGAAACACCTGTAAACAAACGCCAAATGTATTGCAGCATTTATAAACAAGGCGGAGTCGATGCGCCCCCCTCCTTGGCAAATGGTTCCTCCTGACTACATGAACATAACAGCACGTTGACCTTCTTCGGGTCATCGACCGTTCGGTTGTCATTCACGATTGGGTCTTTTTCGGTAAAGTCTGGTCCATTAAAATACTCTCGAGCTCAGAAACCAAACATTTCAAGATTTCTGAAACGTTTCCAAAATTATGTCTTGTTTCTTGATGTTTGGTCAAGTTTTGGGGGTAGTCCACGCGTGTCCGGAACCTTGCCAGGTGCAAATCTACGCTCTTGAGACTATCCGTGCATGATAATACCCTAACTCATTCACTGGGCATGGAACTAGATTAGCACGGTTCTCAGGATACGATTAGGCCACAGTAAGTAAATTTTATGGATGACATCCTCCGCAGACTCCAAATCCATAGCTCCAAATCTAATGCGGCGAGCGGGCGAAAAAAAACAAGGTGGGCCAAAAAACAAGGTTCCTACATTCTCAAATTTTGCCTCAATAATTGTAAATGGTTTTGATTCAGTGAGAACATCACATATACACAGCCAGCATCACATATCACTCCATTAAAGTAAGAAATAAAACATTAAATCAAAGCCTTTTTCTTCTCTCCTCTCTTCATAGTTACCTGCCATCCACCTTCCTGCATGGCAACAGATATATTTGCCCATTTTCGGTATGTTGACCACTGTCAGAGGGCTACAAAATTCCTTTTTTTTTTTCCAAAATCAGGCGAAAATTAATGCGCGTGCTGATGTCATCCATAAAAATTACTTGCTGTGGCCTAACCTATTCAGACATGGAACTAGATTACTAGTATTACGGTCCTCAGGATACGATTACGGCGGAGCGCGAATCCTTCTCTCCGCGGCAAAAACTCCCTCGGCAACAAATCGTCCCTAGCTCGCGGCGGCATATTAGTCTCATCGCTCCAAAAAGAAAGAAAAANAAAAACGTAACGACTCCAACAAGTCTGCGTAGGCCCGCATGCCCTTTTCCGCAGCGCGTGATGGAGCGCTCTAATTCAACCTAGAGCGTAATTAGCGCATTTAGCGTAGAGCGTATTTGTCGATTTGATTCTACGTAATGCGTTGTAGCCACTTGGAATTTATCGTAAAGCGTAATCGAGAGGTTTCCGAATTCAGCGTAAAGCGTTGTCAGGACATGCAGGCCCCCTTATGTATGCATGTTACACTTACTGTCATCAAGCTGAAGACGTTCCCAACAATCGGCAGTCCTGTCGGTCCAGGCGGCAGGTTTTTGGGTCGCATCACCATAGCCAGGACGCACAGGGCAGTCACCAATACCGCCTGTAGGCCCCCGAACGCTGCAATCAGTTCACTAAGAAAAGACATGGTCGTAGCTACCTGTGCTACCATGATTGAAACACCAGTGAAGTGATTCTAAATATCGCAAACAGTTCTACCAGACCACTGGATAGAGAGGCCTTTATATATACACGGCCGCCAGCTTTGACCTTACGGTCACTCAGTAATGATCTATCGGTCAGTTGCCTATCGGTCATTCACCTTTCGGTCGCTGAATGTAGCATTGTAGGTCATGTACCTTTCTGTAATCACGGAGCTAGAAGGACTTACTTCTAAATCCATGCCCTAATTATGGCTTCACCACTATGTGGCATGAAGTGGGCAAATACCCCCCAGCCTTTTTTTTTTTTTCATTTTTGTGATACAGCCTTTTAGAATGGTTTTATTTGAGCTTTTTGGCTGTGTTATGGAAAATGTACTATAGCAGTGTGTTACCATATTTGGGCATGAGTCATCAGAATGGCATGTAGAGCAGACAACCAATAGGCATTCCGCTTTCCTCTATATATTCTCCTTGCTGATTGGCTGTTCGGATCTGATTAGGTTAACTCAATTAACACCTAGCCTGTACAAAGCCATGCCATATTAACAGTATGAACTCTATTCAAGTGTTTTGGTTGTCAAGTTTTCCTGCTCCATACCCCAGTATTGGAATGCGGGGCATAAACGTAAACGCTTTTTTACAGCTTGAAAATCAACAGTTTGCATTATGCAATCAAAAATCCTAACCAATAATGTAAGGGACAGCTATCCAACTGTTGTCACTTCCGATGATATTATAGTTATAGTTATATCGATATCAATGTAAAGAATTGTTTTCCCTTGTATTTCTCCTTCTTTCCCTGCCATGCCGTGAAATGTGGTGAAGTCATGCTGAATCCAAAGCAAATGTCGGCCTTTCTAGTTTTTTTTCATGTTTCTTCTTTTCTTCTTCTCCTCCTGCCATTTCGTTAAATGGATTCAACTTCTTCATTTGGGCAAAATAACACGAAATTTGGCATGAAGGTAGAGTGGGCAAATACCTCCAGGCGTTTTTTTTTTCTTCATTTTTTCGTTACAGGCTTTTAAATTTGTTTTATTTGTTTCTTTTTTTTCTTTACCATTTTCCGACAAAATCTGTACATTTGGGGTCCTGGAGACCTAGTATAATTTACACTCAAATCATCTGAAATTTGGTCTGGGTATGCTTAATATATCTACCAACAATAATTCATTATATTTTTTGGCATACCTTCCCTTAAACTTGTATAATTTAGGACTTTGTTTTAACGTTAATTTAGTTTTTAAGTCACAATTTATAATATAGTTGGGGATGACTACTATCCATGACTCATCAGTCTGGCATGCACAGCAAGAACCAATAGGATTGCAGGTTTCCTCTATAGTCTTGCTGATTGGCTGTTGGGATATAATTGGGTTAACTTCTTGAACAGCTGCACACAGCCATACCATATTGAAAGTACACATGTAGGTACTGCATTGAAGTGTTTTGTAGGTATGTCAAACTTTCCTGCTCAGTCATCAAGGCACAAACGTTTTTTTTTATCTTGAAAATCAACAGTTTGCATTATGCAAATAAAAATCCTAATCAATAATGTAGGGGATAGCTATCCAACTGTTGTATTCTTAGTTATTTGTCACTTCATCCTATAGTTATATCGATGCAAAACACTGTTTCCCTTGTATTTCTCCTTCTTTCCCTGCTATGTCGTAAAATGTGGTGAAGCCATGCTGAATTTGCTCCAATGCAAATGTCGGCCTCTCTAGTTGAACTCATGTTTTTTTTTTTAAAGTCGGTCTGAACAAGGCCACAGCAAGTAATTTTTATGGATGACTTCAGCGCAGGCATTAATTTTCGCCTGGTGTTGGCAAGAAATTTTGACAGTGGTCAACATGCCGAAAATGGGCAAAGATGTCTGTTGCCATGCCGGAATTTGGATGGCAGATAACTATGAAGAGAGGAGACAAAAAAAGGCTCTGATTTAACATTTTGTTTCTTACTTTGATGCAGTGATAGAAGAGCTTTTTGCACGACAATTGCACATGGTACAATGTATGGCAAACTACATAAAGAGAGTAATTATAAGTGATATGTGATGTTGGCTGTGTGTATGTGATGTTCCCATGTGCACTGAATCAAAACCATTTGATACCCGGTGTCAAGCCATATACATGGTCCTACCAAATACATGACTCCAACACTAATTGGGGGTTTCTCATATACTAGCTATAGTACCTTATAGAGGGCCTGCATGGCGGTAGTGCTTACGAATTACGCAAAATTTTCGCCGCCGATTACGAATTAATGATCTATCGGTTAGTTGCCTATCGGTCATTCACCTTTTGGTCACTGAATGACAATATGTAGGTCATGTACCTTTCTGTAATCACGGAGCTAGAAGGACTAACTTCTGAATCCATGCTGTAATTGAACTAAGGCCATGTTGATTTGATTATATGGATGACATCCTCTGGGAACCCAAAAACTGATGCGCGCGTGCGAATAAAAAAAAAGTTTTGCAAAAAAAAAAAAGTTGCTTTCACTATGAAATCTACGTGGTCATGAAGGTTGAACAAATGGCACAGAATATGTTATGGCGAATAATCTACTCTTCGAATTCATTTCTTTACATTTTTGTCTTTTTTCCTTTGATTTTGGCATTCTACGACATTGGTATCGTTTCTAAATGTTTTCCTTGCAACTTATGGTATATTTTTGCTCATTTAGCAACTGTTTTGCACGATTTATAGTATGGTTGAAAACTTTTTTTTTTGAAAACGGCCAAAAATTCATGCGCGCGCGGATGTCATCCATATAATCAAATCAACATGGCCTAATGTTTCTTTAAAAAGGAGGTCTGAATAAGGCCACAGCAAGTGATTTTTATGGATGACATCAGCGCGCGCATTAATTTTCGCCTGATTTTGAAAAAAAAAAACTTTGTTGCCTTTTGACAGTGGGCAACATGCCGAAAATGGGCAAAGATGTCTGTTGCCTTGCCGAAACGTGGATGGCAGATAACTATGAAGAGAAGAGACAAGAAAAGGCTCTGATTTAATAATTTGTTTCTTACTTTGATGCAGTGATATGTGATGCTGGCTGTGTATATGTGATGTTCCCGCTGAATCAAAATCATTCGTTAAATGAAAGCCCCGTGTTTGGGGAGAGCCACATTAAGAACCCACCACGCCTTTCAAAAAAGAGTAGCGGCATGCCAGGTTGTGCAATGGTCTAAATACCACTATCTGAAAATTTGTGATTCACTTCGGACTCCGGGAAGAAAAATGTGACATTTACACTAATGGGATCCCACTAAAAGAAACAAACAAACAGATCAACCAAATTAAGACTTATTATCATATAGCCGTGTGACGTTGACCAATCAGAAGGCTCCATTCCACATTTCTTATGACGCTGTAATGTCACAAATAGAGTCAAAACCGGGTCATTATTCATCCCAATCCATACATTAAACAACCCAATAATCACCCGCATATGACCTCAGGTGACCCATATAGAACACCGCTATGTTCTAAAAAATCCAAAAATAACTTCAGTTGTGTTCCAGTGACCTCGGGTAACTCCCATAAAAACGAATACCTGTTCCCTGCCTTCGACCCAAATAGAACGCACCCTCCCCAGTGACCTCAGGTGACTCCAGATGGAGCTATATATGTTCTATCTAAGTTTGTATGTGTTATGCAAAAATGTGTCACTCTTTACTGTGTAAGTTTTGATAGGCTATATGATAATTATTAGTGTTAATGACCCGCCCTTTCTCGGTGAATATGGTGTGATAAAGCCTTGTCAGTTGCTATAACCACCTCATAAATCTGCGCTCACTCAGTGGCTTTATTCGGTGGTTAAAGCAACTGACAAGGCTTTATCACCGAGAAAGGGCGGGTCATTAACCCTTAACTGTATTGTTTACCACACAGGCAAGACTTACTATATTGTTTAATTGCTCCTGTTCAAGCATGCTATTTTCTAACTTTCTTACATTTACATGCAATAAGTTAACACTAACCATTACCGATAATTTTGGTCCAATAGCTTTAGTCCATTGCTCTGTAGTATTCACTTCAGACTCCAGGAAGAATAAGGTGACATTTACACTAATGGGATCCTACTAAAACAAACAAAAACAAACAAAATTCAAGGCTTACAATCGTTGCTTAATTGCTTCTGTTCAAACATGCTAATTTCTAGCTTTTCTTACCTTACTGCAGCAATATGTTGACAGAAACAATTATCAATATTTTTGGTCCAATAGGTATAGTCCATTGCTCTGTACCTAAAGTATATCTACCACATTTTAAAAGTCCAGTACGTGTGTGTACGGCCCATTAGTTACCACACTCAGCACTTGTCTGTTTCCATATGTACCATGTTTAACTGACTTATTTGCTTCTTTTGTCTTTGGGCTTGTCTCAAATGTCTCCTCACACATTGTACAGAATTTGGTATACAGATCCTGGCCCTCAGTCTTAGCAATGTTGGAATGGTACTGCATGGCTTTTCCTTTGGTTTTACCACCAAGTGTTGCCTGCAAGGAAATAATGGGAAAATTCACATTACACAAAGGAAATACAGAACATTTTGGTAAAAATTATTTTCTTTACACAAAAATAAGGCCATGTTGATTTGATTATATGGATGACATCCTCCGGGAGCCCCAAAACTGATGCGCGCGTGCAAATAAAAAAAATGTTTTGCAAAAAAAAAAAAGTTCTTTTCATTATGAAATCTACGTGGTCATGAGGGTTGACCAAATGGCACAGAATATGGTTTGGCGAATAATCTAGTCTTCAAGTTCATTCCTTTACAATCTCGTCTTTTTTCGTTTGATTTTGGCATTCTACGACATTGGTATAGTTTTTATTAATTTTTTTTGTAAAAAAAAAAGTCTTACGGTATATTTTTGCTCATTTAAATTTATTTGCTCGTACTGTAATGTTTTGTACGATTTACAGTATGGTTGAAAACTTTTTTTATTGGAAATCGCCGAAAATTCATGCGCGCACGGATGTCATCCATATAATCAAATCAACATGGCCTAAAACAAAAACAAAGAAAATTCAACTGTGCTACAATAAAACAATTCTTATTCAATGACAATGTAAAGAAAGTTGTAAGATCTTTTATAATCATATTCATATTAATTTTTAATAAGGAATTTAATGGACATCCATTCTCAGGTATTTCAAAATAATTCACTAACATCCTTGTTCCACTTCAATTCTTAGCATATAAAATACCTCCATGTCTACAACAATTTCTGTCCCTCCCCAAGCATCCAAATGGAATAGTCCAAATGCTCACCTGTGGTACAATCAGAACATCACCTGGCAGATCCAGTACTGAAACTAGCTTCCCATTCGGCTCAGATTCGCTCAATCTGACTGCCAGGATGGCTCGTACTGGCAAAATAAATACAATGTAGGGGTCAGAGGAATTAGTATACACTAGAATTAGGCCACACCAATTTAATTTCTTGGTTAACGGATTCGCCTGCTTCATTTTTTTCTGATTTGCAAATAAAAATTAAAATTCAGAATTAACTGCAAAATGCTCATATTTTGCCCTGAACACAGTCCTTTTCATCCTACTAGTAGTTGTTACAGTTATTCCTTCTTTCAATGCAATGGTATCATTAAAAGTTCAAAATTCATTGTTTAAATTTTGAACCAGCCTGTTGTGTTGACTTCATGGCTCCTATCATACCATTTTGGGCCATAATAGGACGCCTAGGCCTGTTTTTATTCTAATTTTTTTTTGCCTGACCGCTCCATTATTTTTCTAGAAAAATCCGTTAACCAAGAAATTAAATTGGTGTGGCCTTAGGCAAATTTGATTTATTAGGCCGTGTTCATGTGAAGTCAGTGAAGGCGCTTTGCATGTGGTTTACCCCGAAGCCGGTTTCAAGTGGCTCCATCTGAACGCTCCAAATCACATTGAAAGCGCCTCGATCCCAAACCACTTCTAGAGGTGGTTTCCGTGATAGGACACGGTTTGCAAGGAATGTATGGCACGTGGACCAGATGTGAGGAATACGAGTTACCCGAATCACGGTTTGGGTGACTTTACATGAACAAGGCTTTAGTTCTAAGAAAAAATATGAAGTGACGGGGCGAAACAAAAATAAAAACAAACCCAAATGCTACCATGAAGTCAACATTCCAGGCTGGTTTCAGTAATTCAAATAAAGATGGATTTTAAAATTTCTATCAAACCATTACATTGATACATGAAAAACTCTTACTAACAACTATAGGAGCTTTCTTCAACTGTTTTGGCTAAATTGTGAGCATTTTGGAGTTGAATCAGAACCTGAATCTTATTTTTTCCAATCAGGGAAAAATGATGTGTGGACGAATCTTTAATACTGAACCAACTGATTGAATAAGTATGGAAAATGTTATAAAATATGTAATATCTCTTTCTAAATTCAAAACCTGAACATGTTAAGATATTTTGTCCTAAGGCCACACCAATTTAATTTGTTGCTTCTCGGATCGCTCTGTCCATTTTTTTTCTAATTTGCAAAAAAAAAAAGAAATTGGGGGGGGGCTCTAAATTAACTGCATGAAAGACATACCTTGGCCCCAATGGCTGAAAAAAGTCCTTTTCTTCCTAGTTCTTAAGTTTTTCAATGTAACAATGAATTATGTTTCATTTAAAGTTCAAAATCTATTGTTTTGATTATAAACCAGCCTGGTATGTTCCCTTCATGGCCCATATTGTAACATTTCCGGCTATCATGGGGTGCCTTGGCCTGTTTTCTTTTTATTATTTCGCCCTGTCGCTCCTGATTTTTTCTGAAAAAATCTGAGAATTCATGCCATCATACTAAATAACATATATTATATACAATGACTTGACAAGATATGTCACTCACCCATCTTCTCTACAAGATCTTCTGTTGCTCCTTTAAGGAAACATAGGTAGATGATGATGCCACGCCCAACCTATGGATCACAGATTAGGCACATGTCAATGTAAATCCTAGAGGGTGTTTGACCATGATTTAATTAGGGTACTGCCCACCATGTTGGATGGTCAAACCTCCAGGAAGCAACATGAATATGTTGTATACACATGCATATATGTTAGGCCATACCAATTTAATTTCTTGGTTCTCGGATTTTTTTAGAGAAAATATAAAGCAACGAGGTTAAAAAATAAAAATAAAAACAGATCTAGACATCCTGTTACACTCCCCAAATGCTACGAAGGGAGCCATGAAGTCAACACAAAAGGCTGGGGTTATATTTGAACAAGGAATTTTAGAACTTTTAATCAAACCACTACATTGATAGATGGAAAAACTGCAACAACTCGGAAGAAAAGGACCATCCTCAACTGTTGGGGGCAAAAAATTAGCATTTTTGAGTTGATTCGGAAACAGAATCATGTTTTGTTTTTTTTTGCAAATCAGAAAAAAATGAATTGACAAATCTGAGAACCAACAAATTAAATTGGTGTGGCCTTACTTTGACAATGAAATATATTAACACAAATGATTTACAGGCTACTCTTCCACGTTTAACTGCCGACATGTGTGAATATCCTATATGTTATTATAAAGTGTACTAACATCAATCTTCAAGCAGATATTAGGGTTTATAGATACCTCGACATATTCAGCTTCATTTTCGTCTGATGGTGGCTTGACTTGAAGCCTGGCACTCAGGCACTGTTGTACCACGACTCTGGCCTTTGGGACTGTGTCAGCATTGGCCATGATTTCTCACAACATTCTTGTCAGTCACTGCATTGCAATCAACAACGCGGCAAGTACTAGTGGCCTAGTATGCTGTTGGTTGCATCAGACCCGGAAGTAGCCTTACCTGGGGGCCTGCATGCTCTTTTTTGTAAGGCGTAATCAGGCCTTTCTAGTCTTCGTAAACCGTAGGCAGCCTTCCCAAAAATCAACGTAATTCGTATTCAGTTAGCCGCAAAGCGTAAAGTCGCGATCAGGTCTAAAACTTTAAACATAATTCGTAATCGGTAGCGAAAGGTTTGCACTAATCCCCCATGCAGACCCTCTTACTTTTTATTTGGCCTGCTCTACCTTTGATCTTTGATCTTTGACCTCAACAGACGACAAGATGGCGGCGCCCATGCCGAATCCTCATGACAGGACAAGAAAACCTAAACCGAAGGGCGAGGAGGACGAGGAGGAAGAAGAAGACCCTATAGATAAGTTGGTGAATGCGTCAGGATGTGCGGATCAACATTACGCACTGCTGGTTCGTGTTGCTTTGGATTTCTTTTACATTGATGCGCGAGTCATAATATGCCCCCCTCCCCCAGCTACTTAAATTTTAATTTATTTTGATCTCTATGTATGGTAACATTAATTTTCCATTGTACAAAAAAGCGAGAAGTTGACCACTCTGTATTAGCTCAGTAACTAGAACACTTTGTATTAGCCTTGTATGCCAAGTGTGCCTACTCAACTCCAACGTAAGAATGTACAGGGTAGCCTGGTATCCAGTCTGATCGTGGTCGGGGCCACAAGAGCTCTGTCCCGCCCGCCTCACATAGGTTTCCCGGTGTGTATTTCACGAGAGATTGATTAGCCCTCCACGATCGTGCTGGGGGAAACCAAATCCCCAAGCATACTGTCTCTTATTAGCGTAACTCTCCTACCGGGACGGTCTGTTGCACTGGGCGGGGGAAGCTATTAGAGCCCCCGAAGACACAACCTGCCTGAACACCCCCCAAATCACGTAAGACTGGATACCAGGCTACTGACAGGGATGATCCTTTAACAACCTCTCCATCAGGGTTGGATCCACGATTTCGCTTTCTTGCCCTGGCCCAGTAAAAAGTACTGTTCGGGCAAGTGCATGTGCCCCTAGACTTGCTGATTTTTAAAGTCAAGTCATGACAAGTCAAGTCAATCTTTATTGCACAACAGTTGTAACGGGTACAATGCATGGCAAACTCTTCAGTACTACATATCTAGCTAACATCTACTCTCACGTCTACAGTGACTACAAGTTCTATGTATCGAAAATAACATACTATTTCAAAAAGGTAATATAGTACATGTATATATTCTATATATGACTGTACAAACTAGAGTCTAACGTTACATCAGTTGGCGGATGTAATATGATTTCAAAAATGCAACGTATAGCCGCAACGGTGTTTGGAGCAAGTCAAACTACCTTTTTTCGATAAAGCATCCAACATTATAAACTAAAATTAAGATAATTTCCTTGATGGTAGTAAAATGCATTGAAATATATGAATTTTGCGCATGTAAAAAGGTTTGGGCAAGTGGAAATGACCTTAGCGCAAGCGGATTTTTGAAAACTTGTCCAACCCTGTCCCCATGCTTGTATCTGGGAGATTGCCCCTCCTTGTACTGCCCTTGTCCAGTGACTTTCTGCAGATCCTTGGCATGGGTGGTGTGGTTGACCCTCTCTGGCCAATGGATACTGCCTGGCCAATTTGATACTGTCTAATGCTATCCTAGGATCTGCTTGGAGATTACCCTGAAATAGCATTGTATGCCTTTAAAACTTAAGTTGGATGAGAAAGAGGTGGGTGTGTGATGGTCCTAGTTTACTGCCTGAAGTTGGTGATTCATTACAAATCACAAAAAGCCTAGTCTCCTTCGTAGACTTGTAGGGCGTGGCATTATTTTTTTTTTGGTGAGCAACGCGAGTTATGCTGCAGAGGGACAATTTTGAGTTATGCCGCGGAGGGACGTTTTTGCCACCAAGTTTTGCTGGGGAGAGATGGTCCCTCTGCAGCATAACTAAAAATCATCCCTCCAAAGCATAACTCGCACCGCTCACCAAAAAAATTATGCCGCACCTTACAAGTCTGCGAAAGAGGCTACAAAAACCCCCATTCAACAAATAAATATAATGTGAAAACACTGTTTCCTCAGGAGTGCATGGCTGAGCACCAAGACTGGAGGAAGTGTCAAGAGGAGACAAAGAAGTTCAGGTTATGCATGGCGGAGGCACAGAAGAGGAAACTGGAGAAGAGATGACAAGACACCTTCCTGCCCCTCCCCTCCCTCCCCAGAGGTTATCCTGAAAGTTCATCTGTGTTGGTAGAAATCATTATGACGCAAGTTTAAACTGTAATTTCCAACACAGCAAATTGGACTCACCCAAATTTTCGACTGTACAACTCCAGTCTTTGTCAAGGAATGAGCAATCCACCGCTTCCGTGACGTCACGCAGATAACACACGTGACTCTGTGAGCGATGGATCATAGGTTACAGAAAGTCTGTGGCGCCCCCCGTCTCAGTTGAGGGAGACTGGAGTTGTACAGTCGAAAATTTGGGTGAGTCTAATTTGTATGGTACATGTATCTTGTTTCACTTTCTAACACCATAAAAATTGTAGAGCTTCAAGCATTGATATTATGCACAAAAAGGAAATGTATTTACTTTCAGATACATTAAGTATAAATGATAGACTTACATGTAATATCTGCACATGTATTCATAGTTACCTCTTACATTGTCTTAGTATATTGTGTCAGATGGGCTCTACATTGATTTATTAATGTACAACAATCAGAACATTGCCCATTATGATACTGTTATAACATTTTATGATTATGCAAAAGCTATAGCCTAGTACATAATGTAAAGTTTTATTGCAAATTCATGCCCGAGGGCTAATTGCATGAACAGAAGAAACATTTGGTATAAAAACAGATAATTAGTATACATGGAACTACTAACTACTAAGAAACTACATGTACAAGTAAAAACTACATTATAGTATAGCTACATTTCTTCAATAGTCGTAACTCATCAAGGATTAAAATGTTATTTCAAGGAAGCAATACATACCTGTATACACTTGATACAAAGCTTGAAAAATGTTCAGTTTACATTTCTTTCTAAGAATCTCTTGTATATAAATTTGGACCTAAAAAGCTTGAAAAATGTTCAGTTTAAATTTCTTTTTAAGAATATCTTGTATACAATTTTGGACCTAAAAAGCTTGAAAAATGTTCAGTTTAAATTTCTTTCTAAGAATCTCTTGTAAACAAGTTTGGACCTTAAAAGGCATACCTGATTCATCTACCTCTTACTTTGTCTATTATCTTAGGTTTGTAAAATCAAACAGATAAAACTATTACAAGAATGATATGAAATCTGTTGACTAGAATCACAGCGTATGGCATGGTTGGAGTTCATTTGTACAAAACTACCTCTGTAAAAATGAAAGCGTCCCCGACGGAGAAACGCCCGTTTAAACGCCCGTTTGTGGTGGCCGTTTGTTTGGGACGGCTGCCCGTCCCTGGCGGTAAACGGGGCTACGGACGCCTGGACAAAGGCCAGAAACGGGCCAGGACGCCTCAAACGCCTGGGACGCCGTCAGAAATGTCCGTTTTCGACGGCGTCCGGGCGTTTCTTAAGGCGTTTGGGCGCCGTTTCCGACGGGCTACCGGGCGGGCTGCTGGACGCGCTGCCGGACGGGCTCCCGGACGGGCTCCTGGGCGGGGCCGGGCGACGCTTGGGACGGCACAGGTGGGGTCCAAACGGCGTATCCGACGGCCGGACGGGTCTCTGGGGGGTGCTCAGTCATTGTGGACATTTTGATCTTGCCGCTCCGACGGGGTTGGGACGGCGTTTCCGACGGCGTCCCGTGACAGAAGGTGCCGATATAGTAATATTGAAAACAATTGCAGATTGGCATCGAATCAACAAGTAACGGCCGCCCACATTGTAACAGTTGCCGTAACGAGCCGTGAGTAAATACAAGTGAAGTAAATACAAAATACCATGATCAAACGAAAAAGATTTTCTTCAAGAATATAGAGTAACAAAATGTTGAACAGCGGCTGTAAACAGCGGCGAACATGCGACAACAGTAATCCACCATTGTGAGCGCACACAAACATAAAGGGCGAGGGTGTAAGAAAATTACAAGTGCAAACATTGCCTAAGTGGACATTTTAACATAATCGTCTTTCTTCATTAAAATTCGTATAGTATATAATTATATTCTACGTAGTTTTTGTGCGTCTTGGAAGATTTTGTTATGAAAACAACATTGACGGTTGCGTTTGTAGATGGCAGCCGTGACGTCAGGACTTTCCCGGGCCGAACTTGTGTGCGGGACTTCGAGTCTCTTTTTGTGTATGACGTGTACATTTTTACGGCATCATCGTTCTTTATTAAAACAACAGGTATTGTACACAATTATTCTACAAATCGTTCGTGTGCGTCTTTTTATTTTTCGGCGTTAAAACATTGAATTTCCTTTATCAGCCCGGCGGTGCATGTGACAAAATTTATGTGGGGAGGGCAGTCTCGGGGAGGACGAACAAAATATAACCGCAAACTTCTCAGCAGCCCCTGGAATTAACTAATGTTCTGTTGTGGCAATTGTAACACTGTCTTACACAGTTCCCTTGTAACATTTGACAACGAAAAATTCTTGTCCACTTACCGAGTATCCTCGAAAAAGAATCGCCGAGACAGATTGCTTCGGTACACCCAAAATTCTGGCGGCCGCTGTTTACATTCTTGGAACACCTCGTTTGACTATTTTAGTCAGTCGCTGGAGATGCCCAAACTTGTGTGCAGCGTCGACGATAGATATAGCTGCTTGTATGAATGAAATCCATCCTCCAAAATTGCAGACAATCCAACAAAATGGAAAAAACTGAGGTCGACTGAGCAGCAGACGTGTTCCCCAGCCAGCCCGGTGACCGTTAAATCTAGCGCCTTCAAACTTGGCGCATGTGCGTTAGAAGCCTAAACCCCCCTGGGAAACATCGTGAAGCACGTCAGTGCCGGCCGCTGCTGTTGTCAATTAATTAATAAACGCCCGTTTCCATGCCGGACGGTTCAGGACGGGCTGGGAGCGACGGGGTGCCGTCGCTAATTTCTGGGACGGCCGTCCGGGGAAGTTTGTGGACGCTGCCAACTGTGTTGGGACGGTCAGGACGCCGTTTCCCGCTAAGGACGGGCAGGGACGGCGTCCGGTGGGCGTTTCTCCGTTGGGGACGCTTTCATTTTTACAGAGGTACATTTTAATCAAAGATTACATTTTAATACAGCTGACAACAAATCTATATTTCCATGTCTGTTTGCAATATTGCCAGTTCTCATTGTGTCAAAGATTTGGCCTTGATATAGGAAGTTTACTTTTCAGAATTTTAGATTATCTTAAAAATTACAGCACACTATCTAGTGTATATGATATAGGATATCATGAGAAGTAAGGTACAATTTTGGCAATAGAAGTGAACTACTGTCTAAAACTGACTCCTGTACCTAGTTTATTCTGACAGCAAGGCTACACCAATTTAATTCGTTGTTTCTCAGATTTTTTCAGAAAAAAAATGATGCGACAGGGCAAAAAAAAGACCATTAGGCACCCCGTGATAGCCGGAATTGTTACAATATGAGCCTTGAAGTGAATATACCAGGCTTTATAATTAGATCAATAGATTTTGAACTTTTAATGAAACAAATTTGCATTGTTACATTGAAAAACTTTTAACAACTAGGAAGAAAAGGACTACTAGTATCTTCAACAATTCTCGGGCCAAAATGTGTCTTTTATTGAGCATTTTGCAGTTTATTTGGAATAATTTTTTTTCTTTTTTTGCAAATCAGAAAAAAAAATGGACAGGGCGAATCTGAGAAACAACAAATTAAATTATTGTGGCCTATATTATAAAGTACATGTATAATGTCTTCCTGGAACTCTTCAGGTTGGCACTGCAGTGCAGATTTAAATCACTAGATGGAGTCGTAGTCTAGAAGGCTCAGATCATCGTCCATGGGTATCCTGCTGTACCTGAAGCTGGCCACACCCCGAGATGGCCACAGGAGGTAGGCCAGGACAGCATAGGACAGGAAGTCAGCTGTCACTGTGATTCCTGAAATAAATACAGTCGTATTATCATGAAAGTTCATCTGTGTTGGTAGTAATCATAGTAAAACATTGAACTTTATTCCAACATATAGGTTACAGAGCGATCAAATTTTCGACGACCACTGTCACGTATCAGTAAAGTCTTGTGTGAATAAGGTCACGTGTTTGTAAACCGTAACTCTCGCGAGATCACGTTGTGAAGTGATTGGTCATTAATTATCCTAAAGAAGGTGACAGTGGTCGTTGAAAATTTGATCGCTCTGTATCCTGTGTGTTGGAATAAAGTTAAATGGATAGTTAAAGTTGGAACAAAGTACAGTCGTAAATGTATGTGGGAAGATAATGTGTAATTAATTTATCTTGAGTATAATCTGATATATTTGACTTGTATTTCTGTCAATTACATACTGTTTTTTTTTTCGCTCACCTGCTCCATTATTTTTCTAGAAAAATCTATTAACCAAGAAATTAAATTGGTGTGGCCTTAGTATATACATGTACATGATGAATACCTTTAGATTGTTTTTTAGAACCTTGTCAGTTACCTTTTGTTTATTTAGAACTTACTTTAGAATATTGACTGTTTTTGTTTATTTAGAACTTAATTCTTGTTCTGTAAATTTCCTCTACATTTGTACTGATGAAAGGTACCGGATGGTACCTGAAACGTTTACGTATTAAAATTTCAATTTATCCAGTTTGAAAAGATTCAACAGCTTAATCACTTTATCTTTATCCTGGATGATTAACCTTCACCAACGTATACATGATGTAGGTTGTCCAAACCTGTGAAGGTTCTATACTGCCACAGTGGAGGCACGACCTGTGAAACCACGACTGCTGCCACGGGTAGATACAGGAACCACAGACTGTACACACTGCCCAGCACCATGTAAAACTGCTGACGGGATGGCTTGGCCTCCTGTGGAAAGTACAGGATAAAGTGTTAGTCAAACATTGTTTGCTTGTTGCTAAAATGTAAGCTGCACGGCCCTTTGAAATACATGTATATGTGCCTCACAGCGAAACTTGCTAATGCCTCTGTAAAAATGAAAGCGTCCCCGACGGAGAAACGCCCGTTTAAACGCCCGTTTGTGGTGGCCGTTTGTTTGGGACGGCTGCCCGTCCCTGGCGGTAAACGGGGACTACGGACGCCTGGACAAAGGCCAGAAACGGGCCAGGACGCCTCAAACGCCTGGGACGCCGTCAGAAATGTCCGTTTTCGACGGCGTCCGGGCGTTTCTTAAGGCGTTTGGGCGCCGTTTCCGACGGGCTACCGGGCGGGCTGCTGGACGCGCTGCCGGACGGGCTCCCGGACGGGCTCCTGGGCGGGGCCGGACGACGCTTGGGACGGCACAGGTGGGGTCCAAACGGCGTATCCGACGGCCGGACGGGTCTCTGGGGGGTGCTCAGTCATTGTGGACATTTTGATCTTGCCGCTCCGACGGGGTTGGGACGGCGTTTTCGACGGCGTCCCGTGACAGAAGGTGCCGATATAGTAATATTGAAAACAATTGCAGATTGGCATCGAATCAACAAGTAACGGCCGCCCACATTGTAACAGTTGCCGTAACGAGCCGTGAGTAAATACAAGTGAAGTAAATACAAAATACCATGATCAAACGAAAAAGATTTTCTTCAAGAATATAGAGTAACAAAATGTTGAACAGCGGCTGTAAACAGCGGCGAACATGCGACAACAGTAATCCACCATTGTGAGCGCACACAAACATAAAGGGCGAGGGTGTAAGAAAATTACAAGTGCAAACATTGCCTAAGTGGACATTTTAACATAATCGTCTTTCTTCATTAAAATTCGTATAGTATATAATTATATTCTACGTAGTTTTTGTGCGTCTTGGAAGATTTTGTATGAAAACAACATTGACGGTTGCGTTTGTAGATGGCAGCCGTGACGTCAGGACTTTCCCGGGCCGAACTTGTGTGCGGGACTTCGAGTCTCTTTTTGTGTATGACGTGTACATTTTTACGGCATCATCGTTCTTTATTAAAACAGCAGGTATTGTACACAATTATTCTACAAATCGTTCGTGTGCGTCTTTTTATTTTTCGGCGTTAAAACATTGAATTTCCTTTATCAGCCCGGCGGCGCATGTGACAAAATTTATGTGGGGAGGGCAGTCTCGGGGAGGACGAACAAAATATAACCGCAAACTTCTCAGCAGCCCCTGGAATTAACTAATGTTCTGTTGTGGCAATTGTAACACTGTCTTACACAGTTCCCTTGTAACATTTGACAACGAAAAATTCTTGTCCACTTACCGAGTATCCTCGAAAAAGAATCGCCGAGACAGATTGCTTCGGTACACCCAAAATTCTGGCGGCCGCTGTTTACATTCTTGGAACACCTCGTTTGACATTTTAGTCAGTCGCTGGAGATGCCCAAACTTGTGTGCAGCGTCGACGATAGATATAGCTGCTTGTATGAATGAAATCCATCCTCCAAAATTGCAGACAATCCAACAAAATGGAAAAAACTGAGGTCGACTGAGCAGCAGACGTGTTCCCCAGCCAGCCCGGTGACCGTTAAATCTAGCGCCTTCAAACTTGGCGCATGTGCGTTAGAAGCCTAAACCCCCCTGGGAAACATCGTGAAGCACGTCAGTGCCGGCCGCTGCTGTTGTCAATTAATTAATAAACGCCCGTTTCCATGCCGGACGGTTCAGGACGGGCTGGGAGCGACGGGGTGCCGTCGCTAATTTCTGGGACGGCCGTCCGGGGAAGTTTGTGGACGCTGCCAACTGTGTTGGGACGGTCAGGACGCCGTTTCCCGCTAAGGACGGGCAGGGACGGCGTCCGGTGGGCGTTTCTCCGTTGGGGACGCTTTCATTTTTACAGAGGCGTGCACATGCAAATCAATTCACCTAATTAATAATAACATACAAAACTTGACTTAACTGCAACACTGTCCAGGGTTGAAATGCAATTCTTGCTCATGCATGTGTGTGTGTGTTTTTGAGTATGTGTGTGTTTGAGTTTATGTTTGAGTGTGTGTGCTTGAGTGTGTGTGTGTGTTTGAGTGTGTGATTGTGTGTGTGTGTGTGTCTGTGCGTGTGACAGTGTGTTTGCGTGTGTTTGCTTGAGTGTGTGTGTGTGCTTGAGTGTGTGAGTGTTTGCTTGAGTGTGCGTGTTTGACCGTGTGTGTTTGAGTGTGTATGTGTGTTTGAGTGTGTGTGCTTGAGTGTGTGTGTTTTACTGTATGTATATGTCGTTTGAGTGTGAATGCCAGGTTGAGTGTGAATGCCAGGCAACCTGATATATTTATGGGCAACCTACAGCTTTTGGCTTAGGTTGCCTAGTGTTTCAAACCCTGAGGTTAAACAGGTCTTAAGTTGCTCATCACCTGTAGATAGCTGAGGTGTAGCTCATACAGGAACCACAGTAAGATGAAGAGTCTGAGGCCCAGTACTACCAGGGTCTGCCAGGGCAGGCTGGCGTCTATTGTGGTGACTGGGTCTGTTGTAATCTGCAGGCAAGGTATTATAACAATAATTTTCATTTGCATGTAATCCCACGTTCATGATAAATACATGTACATACTGATAAGGCCATGTTGATTTGATTATATGGATGACATCCACGCACGCATGAATTTTCGGCCGTTTCCAAAAAAAAAAAGGTTTCAACTATACTGTAAATCGTACAAAACAGTTGCAAAATGAGCAAAAATATACCGTAAGTTACAAAAAAAATAAGTAAAAACTATACCAATGTCGTAGAATGCCAAAATCAAACAAAAAAAGACGAAATTGTAAGGAAATGAACTTGAAGATTAGATTATTCGCCAAACCATATTCTGTCCCATTTGTTCAACCCTCATGACCACGTAGATTTCATAATGAAAACAACTTTTTTTTTTTGCAAAATTTTTTTTTATTCGCACGCGCGCAGCAGTTTTGGGGTCTACCAGAGGATGTCATCCATATAATCAAATCAACATGGCCTAATGTTACATGTTGATACTAAGTAGCATCATCATCATTGGTAGTGGCTCTTAGTCTGAGCAATGAGTAACATAATAATAGGATAAAAAGATAATTCTTAGGCACTATATCCTATCTAATCTGTCTAAAGGTTTGTTTTCTCTTGTTATTTACATAATTTTTCTATCATCTGGTCATCAACAAAGATGTTTTTAAACTTCTTTGTTTAGAAAAGAACATTTCTGCATTTATATTCTACTCAGAAAACAAAGGTGGAAATGTGCTCCATAGGTGCTTAATCTATGTGATATAATTGTGATAGTCTGTAAAACTATACTTTGGGAGTTATGGAAAAGACGGAAGAAAGTATTTCTATACACAGAGATGATTTGGGCATATTACTGTATGACAAGGATAGTAGCAAATCACAGTTGATAACTTACCAGCCGTGACGTAGTAAGTCCAACATCCACCAATGAGTATGTGACGATGACCACCAGGAAAGTCTTGTGTTCCACATGAACTTTAGTAACCGTCCATCCTCTCCCCAGTAACAACAGCAAAGCCATGAACATGCACTGACTCACAGTGTCAACTACCTCACCAAAGTGCTTCACTGGCAGAACCCCTGCTCCATCAAAAGTGTAGATGGCCAGGTGGAGAAATTGTAAGGATATGCCGAACCATTCCAGCAAAATGCTGGCTACAAAGACTCTTATTATGGTGTGAGAGTGCCTCCGGTGTCCACATAAAAGAACTGATAGAAAGATCAGGTACAAGGTCATGTAGGTAAGAAGGATGATGCTGACATATTGAGACTCGTAGGAAAGTTGGTAGTATAGGAAGTCTGTCTGGGTTGAATTTGGGTTCCCATTGACCAACCAGATGTCATAGCTTAATTCTCCATTCTCATTGGTTGAATTGACCCAGGTGCAGTTGGAGGTCTGTGATTGGTTACAGCGGCATGGTACAAAGGAGAGATGCCATAGCCTAGAAGAAAATAAGAAATAGTCTCATTTATTGTATGTTTTGTTCATTTTTTTCTCTAAGGCCATGTTGATTTGATTATATGGATGACATCCTCCGGGAGCCCCAAAACTGATGTGTGCGTGCGAATAAAAAAAAAGTTTTGACAAAAAAAAAGTTTTATTTCATTATGAAATCTACGTGGTCATGAGGGTTGAGCAAATG